GGGGGATGGCATTGAAATATATGAAGATTTCATTTCATTTCACAGCAATGACACAGTTATCATGCACTTTGTGCATTTGTTTTGCATGTAAAGCCTATAAGTTCAGTAAACAAAAAACCCTGCCATTCAGCCAGTATGTAGCACATGAGGGCCTTCTTCCCTAAAAGGTAGTTTTGATCCTTGTAGCCTGCTCTGTTCAATATCAGCCATTTAATTTCCGAAACCATCTGCCTCCACCTTTGATTTCACCATCAGCAGTGTCAGTTGCCACTACTCAATTTATGAAAACAGTTGTAAGGGGTAAATACTGAATTATTCTCAGTTAACTGGTAAACTGATCCCCTTGTGGAGCTGATCTTATCTTATTTTCCCCATAACAAAGGGATTAAATGATTTTTCATTGAAGTAACAGTTATGAGTTATCTGCATATACATAAATAGCACCTTTAATATATATATATATACGTGGAAGCAAAGATCATCTCACACTAGTGAAGACAAGGTACCTAGGATAAGTTATCCTAGCACAGTGCACAACTGATGGATGGTATTTTCTACCATTCTTCACATCTCTTGTCTATCGATACAGTTTTGTGAAGCAGACCTAGCCTATACCTGCCAGGCCTATTCTAGACCATCATAAAAACAGTGTGCAAACAGCTCTGTGCTCCTAGTCAGCTGCAGTATTTTTCTACCTGGTAGCATTTGCCTAAAAATTTGATTAACGGTTTTCCTCAGAGGGACCAAAGGCTGAGTACTACAAATATGTGTTTTTGAATTGTTAGTAAAGGAAGAAGCATGGGGATTGACTAAAAAAAGAAATAATAAGACATAATACCTGTTTCCTAAGAAACCACAAGGAAATAATTGTGGTTTTATTGTTTGGCTACTTGGTCATCTCTGACACATCCCACCAAACACCCCTTCCAAAATAATTCCAGATGTTGATATGTGCAACCTGAGCAGCTTCCACAACAGCTTATTGCACATGCTCTCTTGTAAACACTTATGTTGGACCATTCAAAGTCATGACTTTTGCGTACAGGCACAATCCACAGATTAAACGGGTGAGGTTATCCAGGAGGACTCCTTTAGAGAACACCTACACACAATGCACAGTATTTATGGAACTTGTGATTTTAGTGAGCAGGTTTTACAAGTCACTCGCTCTCTTTATTCAAAGAATAAATACTAAAAGTTATTAGTGCAAATACATCTAAAAGCTTAACTTTTTCCTTGCTAGAAGAATGGAAAAGTCCATCCTGGCAAATGTTGGGATCCTGCAGAGTTAGCACTCTCTTCAAAAGAGAGGATGCATGTGAAAAAACCAGTCTCAAAGCTACTTAAAAAGCACCACCAGACACATGGGTAGAAAGAAAGGTTCAATCTTCTTCGTCCGACTGCCAGAGAGGTAGAGACGGCACCAGTGAGGGTCAGAGCATGCTGTGCAGAATATTTCCACCTAGTTTTGAAAAGGTACCTTCCACGATCACTCTAGTCGTTCTCCATAGGTTCCCTGACAGACTGAGCTCTTGTAAGAGGCACTGTTCCCACATATTCCCACAACACCAGCTATTGAACAGAACAGGATAACACAGCAACACCTAGGTAGGGAAAAACAAAAAAGCAATCCCTACCCTTAAAGCCCCTCTCAGATACACAGGGCCATTGCCATCCAGTTCTAAACACCAAGATAGACCTTTATTTCTTAGCCAGTGGAAAATGAAGGGAATAAAAATAACAGCAGGTTGCTGAGTATATTTCAATGTTCCGTAGCGTTCTGTAAGTGGGTTAAACATACACTACAGGTACGGGGTTTTGTACTGAGTATTGTTACTATTAGTTCAAAAAAGCACAAAACTGGAAAATCAGGTCAAATAACATTTTTCACCTAAACCAAGTTATGGTATGTCAACTTAAAAGGCAGCTGGTCAAACAATTTTAGCATAAGCATCCTAGAAGTAAGGATTGCATAGACAGGGCCAGAGAACTAGAAAAGCCTTTCAAAAAAGGAATCTGTGTAACAGATCATAAAGCGATTGCTGCAGTGATCAAATACTTCCCCTAAACTTCTAATATTCATTGATTTAGGATGAGATGCTGAGAGAAAGAACTCCTATTCACTTCAGCTTCAAAAACACTACTTCTCATGCTATTTTTCCAACATCATTGTAATTCAAGCAATCACACAGAAAAAAAAAACACCACACCCCAATTAGACTTTTGGCCACATAAAGAGACAATCACCTCCGTAAAACAGCTTACCTCTTCGTTGATGTCGATCACATCCCCCAGTTTGAGTTCCAGCTCATCCTCGTTCTGTGGGATGTATTCAAAAAGCACTTTGCACTGCCGCTTCTTGGACCCTGATTCAAGGGAAATGGCAAAAGTAAGAACGCTTGCTAAGGACAACTGTGATTTCCTATGGTCAGCTCCTGATGACCAAAGTCTGACCAGAAGACCCATAAACCATCCCAAAAAGCAAAAAAAACCCAACAGCTTTTGCTGCTGGTTTTGTAGTTTGCTTGTGTCACTTTAAACTAGCGAGCTGTATCTTACACACAACTCAGTTTGAAAAACATCAAGCTTCACAGACAGCCAATTACAAACAAATAAACACTACACTGCCAATGCCCAACACGCTATAAAATACATGTTGACACAAGCAAGTCAGATAAATCCCCAGCACAATGATTTTCAAGCTATTTCCTGACCAAAATCTGACAATCACTGCCAGCTGCAGCATTAGCACTTGCTTGGAAGAAAACATGCAAGTTTGAGCCTCCAGTCTAAGCCATCCCAGGAGAAAGAACCAATGTTTTGTTCTGCACAACACTGCAGTGCAGATAGCCTTTCTGCCCTCTAACAAAGGCCTTGCTAACTCCAGCTCTGAGGTAATGCTAACATTTGCTCAGCTCATATTTCAAAATCTAAACTCACTTTTATCTGTGAAAGCAAAAAAAAAAAAAATAAACTCTTTTTTCAGTATGGAGTTGAGAAATTAAGCCTAAGCTTCAATTAGCAGTGTTTGACAAAAGCAAAATTAAAATAAAGGGCAGTCTTCAGATGTTTGCCACATACCATTAAAGCTTTCAGGCATTAAAAAGTCAAAATGCCATCCCGAGATGGGAGAACATGGAAATAGCTTCCAACAATCCCTCCAGCCAGAGTGGTGTGAAGCTACTATTGCCCAGTTCCTCTGCATGTATCCTGGGGGGATGCTACTGCTGAACTTGCAGAGTTGAGGCATTTCTGCAAACAAGAGGCCATGCTTTCAGAGCTTTCCCACAAAACACCAGGCAAGACGCTCCTGAAGGCAACTGTCACCCTGAGTTATGACCCACATACGCTCCCTATCCTCCCCCAAAACAACCTACTGCAATTTAAGTGAACATTTGAATCAAAAACTTGAAGTGGTAAAGCTTAAACCTTACAGGACCTGTGCAATTCCCATATTCCCCTCTTAGACTTTGCACTCCTTCAATACTCAAACTTGAGCAAGTAAGATTATCTGGGTAGAAACATTTCAAAATATGGACACTGCCTCCAAGATTGAGCCTTGTCTTCTAGCAGCGTTGAAAGTCCAAAGTCAGGTGTTCAGGACATCGCCACACCCAGTGTCCACAGTACAAAACATGCCAGGCAGCCGAGCAATGCTCTGCATCTAGAGTTTCTAAGAGAGGGCTCACCGAATCAGGAATTTCCTACCTGCTGGTATATGGTCGGTGTTCTCAAGAGCTTAAAAGGGGCAGGAACCAAATAAACCAAAAGTATGAAGCTCTATGGGGTATTTCTAATAACATGTAATTGCCCACATAATACACCCTTCTTGTAACTCCACTGAAATTCACACAGCAAGAGGGATTGTTAGGTTAACAGTAATTACAATAAACGGTTCACTGGCCTTTACTACCGCCTGCAGTGCTTTCAGGGCTCCTCCTTTGCACGAGATTAACCGATACCAAAAAAAGGCAAATTAAAAAGTTATGGCCATTTAATATAAATCTGATCTCAGCGTTCCTTTTCAGACTGCAATTGTACCTAAATGGGGGGAGGGACAGGACACAAACCCTCCAGGGCTGGGTAAGCCTTGATCATGTCTCCTCTTGGCTTTATCTTCTCAACCAAAAATCCATGGGTTTGTCCCCCATCCAGAACTCTCTCAACTACAGTTTTTTCGCTGATCCCCAGTTCAGGAAGTTCTGCCTTCCAGTTTTTAAGAAATCCCTAGACTAACCTAGGAAGCTAATGATCCCCTCAGAAAACAATGTTCCAGCTTCAAATGGTACATCAGGACTGCTGGGATGGCAGTCCCCAGGCAATTCTGTCCCTTTCCAAAACAAATTGGCAAGTTTTGTTTGTTTTGTACAGAGTAAGCCAAATTTAGCCCTTTGTTGCCTTAATTTAGCACACCTTCTGTATTCCCCTTTTCCTGAAGAAGCGCAGCCACGTAACCAACAGGAATTCTGCCTGCAGCTTACCAATATGGAGAACCTGAACTCAGCAAGAGCTGCACTTGAGAACACAAGGGACTTCCAGGCAGAGACAACCTACCTCACTGCACATTGGAAACTTCCTATTAAAGAACCTTGACGTTGTTTTTCACATTGTAAACCTCATTTTACCAGGTTTGGAACCAGAAACAGAAAGACAACTAAGCACTGGAAACCTTTTGAAGGGAGTGAGCGATTTGCCCAGGCACAGAACAAACAGGATCTGCAGGAGCTGTTTAAACAGTCTTCCAGAGAAGAGGGAACAGCAAGCAAAATGGAAATGCAGGGATTGTTGTTGCGCCAAGTGAATAGTTGTGTGCTTAAAGGTGCTTTAACAGCATTTTCTTCAAGGAGGATAAGACTAGCCAGAGCACTGCAAACTTTGAGACCAAGTTGTACCTACTACTCTGGCCACAGCCACCAGCATGAGGACGAGGCACGCTGAATATGGGATCATTCCAGGGTTAGGGAGACCAGAACGAATAGGCAACACCTGAACTGGTCAGATCACGTTCATAGAATCACAGAATGTTAGAGTATCTTGAGTTGGGAGGACCCACAAAGAACATGCAGATTCCCTTTCAGAGCGCGGTTCTGTTAGTCTAGGAACAGCGTTCATCTTTCAGGCTAGATTTTCAAAAGCCTGCTGATGCAAACATCTAACAGGCATATATATGCCATCACCAATATGCACATGCACATCAGACTCAAAAAGAAGTGATTTTGAAGGTAATATCCTTAGTTGCCTAGAAGCAGGCTTCAAGAAATTCGTAAACCTGGTGGTTCCATTTCATGTCTTTAAATGACAACTAGTGGCTCTTCTCCTTTTATGGGCAAAAGCTCAAAGCATAAACATAGCAGGAACAGTAAGTTCTTAATTATTTCTTTTAAAAAAAGCAAACTTTAATCATAAAAGCCTGCAATCCCTTGTAAGAGGGAAGAAACCAGTGTAATTTACAGCTATCTCTTCTAAGACTGAGGTGTCCAAATACAATTTACAAGTCAATCTTCTGGATGCACAGAAGAACACTAAGGCTTTTGCTTTAGGTTTTAGTCACCTTGATTTAAATACTAACATTAAAACACAGAAGCCACAGATATGGATGCACCAAGTCTGCACTCCTGACCACCCTGGGGGCTGCCGTTACTATCAACGGGAGACCACTGCTTTGTCTTAGACATCACCAACTTCACCTTATTTCACACTAGAAGCAAGCCTACCAAACAAGAGGAACCTGAACTACAGAGTGTTTCCTTGTCAAAGCCCTGAATTTATAACAGAACTTTAATGTTTAGAAGAAATGTCAACAGGAAGATTTTTGATTATCGTGAACAGGCCTGTAGTTCTCATTCAGGTACCTGACAATACAAGCAGAATCACATGAAGTTACAGCACCAACTCCCTAGAATGTGGAAGGGGTCTAAACCCTGTACCCAGGAAAATTCATCCCTATTGTTGCTGTTAAGGACTACATGCAAGCTTTCTGCCCACACATCCAGGAGCAGACTTTGGCTTAGAATCAAAGCTTTTCCTCCTGTGTCCCTAGTTTTCTGTACAAGTCAGACATTAAATAATTCATGTTTATTAAAAAAATGTGCATCAGCAGCTTATGCAATTAAAGGAATTGGAAAGACTACATACTCTTCTTGAAGCTTTTGGCCAGGGGATGAGGCTGAAATCCTCCTGCTGGAAGTCCATAGCTGCTCATACGCTGCACAAGACTGGCTACATTGCCAGACTTCTCCCTCCTGAGTAGTACGCCATCATCCTTGGGCTCTACATCCTTCTTAACTTCCTGAAACAAGAAATTTAAAAGACTGAGAAGGCCATTTAAATTACCCAAGAGATCAGTGTTTTTAGACAGGCACCTCACAGACTAACAGCTTTCAGGTACTTACCATTTAGTGTGTAATGATATATTACTCAAAAAAAATCACGGCATCCTGCAACTAAACATACTGAAAGCCTTAAATAAAGTTGACCTCTCCATACCATCATGTTGGCAAACAGGTAAGCTGATGTGCTGAGAAACAAGGGTAGTTTTCTAGTCATCTACTCCAACCCTAAGAAAAGTAGCTTTGAGCCCAGAAGTCCTGTATTACAACTCAAGTCACAGCTCATATTTGAAAATATTTTCAAAAACATAATATTACTTCAATGACAGACCCATAGGGTAGGGCACTAAACAAAATATTTTGGTATATAAAACTGTATTAGTTGATCATCTTTGCCTCAGAAAGCTCAAAGGCTGTTTACAGACAAGATGCAATCATACTGCTGAAAGATGAGTGGAAAATAAAGTGAGATACAAGAAAGAGTGGGAGGAAAATACAGAAGATGTAAGAGGAAAGACCTCATTTTTCTGATAACTGTCTCCCACCTTCCTATCTTTCTTAAATTAAGGTGTTAGCATTGGAATTTAATGTGTCAATCGAAACTAATAAGCCTATAAACAAGAAAGCATCAGTTTGACAGAAAAGGCAATGTACACAGCAGTTACTCTACTGCATCAGCTCACTAAATGAGATTCCACTGGAGAACAGATACTCTGAAAAGAGGAAATCATCACTTTGCACAAGAAGAAACCCATTAAGTCAGATCAATGGCCCATCCAGTGCAGAACACAGCTCCCAGCAGCCACAGTCCCAGACGCTCTTTAGAGAGCTAGCCTGCAACCCAGATCCTCCCACGTTCCCAGAGCGCCCATAAAGGTTTCATTAGGGAGATATATCTCCTCCACTCTCTCTCCTTCATGTCTGCAGATGAAGCGGTCTAATCCCTTTCTGCACCCAAGGTCTTGTCTGCCTCCACAGCTTCCTTAGGGACAGACTCCAGGCACTGGATCTCTGCTGCTCCCACTCCCCTGCTTTCAGCTGACACCTCATTACTCCCAGTGTGTGCACCCCATCACTGCCTTTAGTGTAGCACTAGCTCCAGGGCTAGGTAAACCTTGATCATGCCCCTCCCTGGTTTTATCCTCTCAACTGAAGAGTCCCAGCCTTGTCAGCCCCCATCTCACCAGGCAGCTGCTCCATCCTCATAAACATCGAGCTGCCTGCCCCCTTCCTGGTCTCAACAGATCTGATGACACCTGGCATCCTGCCCATGTTTTGGGCTGTCACTGCACCCAGAGGTGAGGATTTCTGAGAATCAAAAGCAGACATTCATTAGCTGATGATCTACTCTCAACCAGCACTGCCATGAAGGATTACTGTATGGATTACTGTTCTGATACACGAGTTGGCATTTACCTACCGTCAAGCTCATCTGTCGCCCTTTTTGCCTGCTCAGCTTCCTGCCATCAGCAAGGCCCAGGACTACATAAGGGTTTAATAGCACTCACAAAATGGGAGTGTCTGCTGTTAAATCCCCTCTCCAGATGGCCAGAGATGCTGAACAAAGCCAGTACCACAAATGGCTCCTGGGGGATCCCATCACCAACTATCCTCTATCCTGACACGTCCCTTGCTTCTTTAAGCAATTTCCAATCCATGAAAGAATTTTTTCCTTCGGTCTGAAAGCAACTGCATTCCTTCAGTAACTTGACAGAAAGCTTTATAAACAAGATTTTCAGAAAACCCAAGTGTGCTGCACCCACTGAATCTCACGTGCCTATGTACTCAGCAGGGCCCCCAAAGCCCGTCAGCCTTTCTACCACTGCAGCATTACACTGTCTTGAGGAAAGCAAACACCCATAAGTAATTTGCAGTTTTTCGTGGTCCACTTCAGAACAATTCTTGCACCCACCATCAGTGGCCACTGGTTAACAATTCAGCTACCACTGCAACAAAATCTTTAGTAATATTTGAAAACACTACTGGCCATATATACATATACTGTGTGTATACACATATATACACACAGACACTTATTAATGTCATGTGAACTCTTCAACCTGAGCTTTAACACAACAAAACTCATGCACTGACGAAATGCCAAAAACCAAGAAACATATTCACCATTACCTACCTGGTGCTTTCTGGGACATTAAAACACAGGCTACTTCCTGCAGCTGTCCACCTGGAAAACTCAGCAGGTCTGGAAAGCTACTGATGCTTTCAAACACACTATGAACCTCAAGTTAAATAGTCCAAAGCACCTTCCTATTTCCCTAATAGCAGAGCAAGTAGAATAAGCAAGACTACAGCACGATTTCTCCCCCCCCCCATCTACATTATATAAAGAGGCTTTTCAGAAAACAGGTGAGTAGTTCCTGCTGTTCCTCATCTTCATCCACAGGGACTTCTGCCCTGGAGATCTTGGCTCTGCTGAGATTCCCACCTTCCCAGTCAAAAAAAACCCACCAGAATAGCACAGCCTATCTACCACCCAGTTCAGGAGACATTTCACATTGCAAAGACTCTGTTAGTCTCAATTTTCAAGTTGGGTTTTTTTTGGCCAGTTACTTGCAAATCCAATAAACCATAAGCAATTAAATTTGGCTACAGCTGAAAAGTTTGCCACCTCCAAAACACTTTTCTAGCTGCCTTACTTATAAGGTCATCCTGCTCAACTGAAGTTGAGTGGATCTGTACCTAGATTTTAGAAATTATAGTCTTCTGCTATGCAATTTGTACCTCCTCCAAAAGCTTCCAGCTGCTCCAGGAACTAATGCTTCCCTAGTTAACTGGTTTCTCAACTGTAACACACTCCAGTGGGGAGTCAGCTCCAGGCTCGTTCCCCAGGTCTGCACTTCACACAAGACTTCAGAAGTGGCTGCTGAAACAATTTTGTGAAAAGCAGAAATGCAAAAAAAAAAGAGAAATGGGGAAGACACACACAAGTGGTCTGGTCAAAAACATGACATACTTCTAATATTTAAAAAAAAAAAAAAAAATACCACAAACCACTTCCATAAGGTAGGACAGGCTGTAAGGGAAACATCACCTTCATCAGTAATTTGCAGTACAGATAATATACTTTTAACCCCAGCAGTAGCATCGAAGGCAAAAATAAAATTGATAGGTTACAAACAATAGGAAATTATTTGAGACAAAAGTGACCATA